CTCGTCTTTTGACGAGCTCGAGCGGCTCGTGGATCGCTACAGTACGAGCCGAGCGGCCGAGCCGACGAGCCGCTCGGCTCGATTGCCATCACTACTTCAAAGGTGGAATTTCACAAGTTCTTCATCGATGAATGCATTGAGGATGATTTTGGTAATGGTGGTGGCATTATTCGCTATCATGATGGACATTGTATTAGAGCTTTCTGGACATTATGAAGACTGTTTTATCTGTAGGCTGAGCTTTGGGCTGTTTTGGATTGAATTTCACTTGCTCTACGATTTGGCTTATCAGACATTTTGGTGGAGACTCTCATGTGGCCCTACACTGCATCACCAGGGGTGGGGGATCATGTGTGATTTAAATCATTTTCAGACAGATCAACATCTGTGTCTTTTGACTGTGATTATTTTCCACACTTATCGTGAGGGAAACCAGATTGTCGATTCACTAGCACTCGTGAGCTAGGACCAACGTCACTATCAGGAGTTTGGTTCACCCGACTTATCATGACAAATCCTAGCCTTTGTGTAGGTTGACAGATATGGACTTCCCAATATTAGAGGATGTTATATTTGCTCTTGTTTGGACTCCGTTTTAATAAAGTTTTGAGAAAATGTATTTTGAAATAGTGTTTTTTTTTAAGAATGTGTGGTTAATTTTTATCTATTTATTTACATGTAATATTATTTTATTGAATAATGTGTGTGTGAAAAGAATAAAGAAAAAAATGTTAAAATAATAATAATAATAATAATAATAATAATAATAATAATAGAGCCCAGACATGAACTTTATTATCACTTGTATAATATTGAAAGGAATAATTCCTTCTTATTCATTTCCTTCAATAGGACCATCGACCACCATGGCCCCGTACCCAACACAAAAAAATTAAGGTAAAAGTTTAAGGCTTTGTTTGAGCTTCATTTTTATCAAAAAATTATTTTTTCAAAACTCATTTTCAACCATACATTTTTCAATAAAATAATAGTTTTATTATATCAATAATTTTTTCTTACTTTTTAACCACATATTTTCTCTAATATCACTATTTAAAATATATTCTTTTCTTAATAATATTCATTTCACACATCCCAAGTGTGGAACCTATTTTGGACAATTTAGTGCTATTTGTGTAAATTTACCAATCCAATTTGATCTGTTATGTGGGTCCCGGCCTGACAATATACTTCCCGCTATCTCACTTTCGCCCCTTTTTGGCGCGTGAAATTTCGAAAATTGCCCTAATTATAGAAATTAGATGCTGTATATCATTCACACTTTCTAGAGAAAGGGTAGCGGAAAAATGCTGGGGAGAGTGAGGCCATCATCAATCAACTCCTTAGAGCTGTTGGAGTTGGAAAGACCCAATTCAAAGATCATCAAAGATGATTCTCTTTCGATTTACGGTAAGATTTTTTTATTTTTGTAGATGAACTGGTAATTTTACGTTATTTTCGATATTTATGCATTTCTAATATTATCTTTAGGTGAAATTTCGCTTTTGTTCCTTTTCTGAATTGATATCGTTCTAAAGCAGGAGTTTACTCCACGAAAAATTGAGAATCTTTTGTTTGGATGTTTGAAAAGGTATCAGTAATTGACCGGAATTGGTAAATTAATTGAGAATTTGATGACGGATTTTTAACCAAAATTGAGTGCCATTCTCAAAATTTTTCCCTTTTTTTGGTGGAAAAG